TAAATTTGAGGCTTCTGTTTATGGTCGAACAAGGGATTTGCAAATGTGTTTGCTTCGAAATTTGGGATGGTGGCATTGGTAGCTGATTGCGATGAAGGAGGCGATCGTCAGCGGTGGCCCGGCAATAATTTTTAGTTTTGACTTGTTCTAAAAATGGGATGGAGCGGGTGGACTCTGGGGTGGAGAGGAGATGGAGGAAGATGAAGTGAATTTTATGTGTCACGTTTTGGTTTTTATTTAGGAAAAATTGTAGTAGAGGTCTTTAACTTTTTCAATTTTTGTAGACTTTATCTTAATTTCAATTTGTGCCAGTGAAGGTCCCTAACATTTCATAAATATACACTTTGAGTCCAAATGGATGGAAATCATATATTTGACCGTTACTTAACTAAGAAATGTGGACTTTGACCAAATTAAAAGGGGAAAATGATAACTTTTTTATTTAATCCCATAAAACAATGAAAATAACTAAAACAAATAAAAAAGAAAAGAAAACTATTCATCTCTTTTTTACCCCACCCAACCTCATCCAAACCAAAAATCAGAGCCATGACATAGGTTTGTTTCGATTGGAGTGGGTCGGTATTTGTGACCTTGTGACCTATTGAATAGTTAATATGTGAGCAGTTGGTGGTAGAGGTGATTGTTTGTGACTGGAGATTCGATAGTTTTGGTTGTGGTGATTTTTGTTGCCAGTGGATTGGATCTAGTGTTGGCATCTTTGTTGGTGGTGGTGTTGTGGGGGTGGTGGCGCGATCGTAGGGTGAGGGTGGTTGATAGTGTGTGACCTACTATCTTATGTATGTGACCAAGTATTTGGTTATCTATGATCAAATATTTAATTGTGGCCTAAAAATTTGATAATATGTGACTAAATAATAATTTGTAACCAACAAATTTGAAAATATGTGATCAATGAAATAAACAGCGACTTATAAAATTTTTGATTTGTGACCTCAAAATAATCTATGACAAATTAATTTGATAATATATGACCAATAAATAAGTTGTGACCTATAATTATGTGTGTGTGACCATTAATTGTATAATCTTGACTTATTATATTTAATTAATAAATATATTTAATCAATTAGCTTATACCTGAGTTTTGCATTATGAAACTTGACACCTTAAAATTGAATTGTGTATAGTTAAGACCTGACTTGTGAATTTTTCCCAATACGCAAAGAGCAATGGGTTATAAAGATAATAGGCTTATGTCAACAGCCCAAAGCAAGTCATAAAAAGGCCAAGACTAAATTAGGCCCAATAGTTTAAGAGGCCTTATGCGAAAAGCCCATAACCCTCCAAAATGAGTAAAGCTATGGTCCAAATAATTTACTTATCTGGGCGATTAATCTGCCCATATTAATTAGGTATCAGGATACAAAATGGATCGGACTCGACCAGCTCAAAATTTGAAAACAAGCTAAAAACCATTAAAACAGCACAACTAGCCAGTATGCAACCAAGAACAATTTCACGCCAAAATTTAAAGTTTATTTATATAATTTTCTCTCCTTTTGATATATAATTAAACTAACGGACATAGATGTAGTGATCAAATTATAACAATGCTTAAAACTCTAAGATAACTGAACTTATAATGACTAACGTTAAATTTCGGCAAATGTTTAATCCGAAACAAGTACCAATCATCGTGTTTAACCTTATATTTCTCTAAACATTTATTTTTAGGCGTTCAGAAAAACCAATTCTTGAAAATAAGATGTTCTAAAGATCATTTCTAGCTACTACGTTAAAAAATGATATAATTACTACGCTCCATACCGACTATCTCAAAAGCTAATTTTGTTTATTGGCTACCTTTATCCTTGAGATGGAGAATGCAATTGTTCTCCCAGACGATTGGAAATAAAGAGTGCTTTTAGCGCTTGCAGTGGATAGAATTACACAGTTTAATGAATTTTTAGTACTGTCTAATCCTAATCTACATGTTTAAAGGGAATGTTAACGCGTGTTAGAAGATAATAAGAAATCAACACTTTCAAGGATGCAGAGGAAAAGAACATGGAGGTCAAGTGTTGGTAGCCTGAAAAACTTTGACCTGGCTGGTACTCTCCAAGTATAAGATCTGTAAACCTTTACTTTCTCTAAATTAATCATGTTTTAACTTTTAAGTGAAGGCTAAAATCCTTATGTAACCTAATAATAAGATAAAGAAGGCATAAACACGCACCCCGGGCATAGATCAGTGGTGCAAAGGATAAGAATGAGGTTATTTCACGCTTTGCTGGCAACCGCGGTGTGGGGGTTCGATTATTGAAACATGAAATTTGATTCCTTGTAGGCGCAGTATACAAACAGCTCTTGTTCCCTGGCCTGCTGGAGTACATCCCACGATTTACCTTCTTAACAAAGCTCTAAGGATGAGATAGTGGGGACCCTCAAGGTTAGGGTTCTTCTTTTTTTTTCTTTTTTTTTTAAAAAAGAAGGCATAAACACACTGTGTTGTAGGGTACCAATAATGTATGGTACCATATATGAATTTTTTGCTTTGTCACAATGTAATTTAATATACCAGACGGCCCAAAAGTTGACATCTGTTTCACTTTCCCAAGTCTTGAAAGGTCAAGACTCAAGGGGCTAAAAATGTGAGCACCACCAAGGAGAATCAAGAAAAATTAAAGCAAAACCGCAAAGATAATTTGAACCACTAATTTTTTTACCTAAAAAGATAACTTCAGATAATTTGAACCACTAATTTTTTTAACTAAAAAGATATTCTAAATAATATTGTGTGTGTTCATCCTATAAAAGGTGATTACTTCATGGGACCACAACCTTTCTTTTTGAAATTATCTTGTTCATCTATCTAAAGATTCTATCAAATCTAATGAACTTCTTGTCTAAGCATCTTGACTATCAATTGTTAAAGAAAATATCAAAAAAAAAAACACAAATCATGAGATTTATAGGCCTGGCCGGTTTTGCACATAGGCGAGTGAGGTCCAAGGCCTCAGATTTTAACCTATTTCATTTTTATTTTTTTGGGTAAATTAGGTTCACCACGATTTTTTTATTAAAACTTTGATAAATTAGGTCAATTCCATTTAATTTATAAATAAGGTCCAATAACCTTTTTTCAGTGTGGGAATTTCATTTCTAAATTATGTCCATTTCGAATACAGCAGAATGGAACAAGCGGTGTAGGATTTCTCAAACTCATGTCGCAGTGATTTCTTAATTCTACTCAACTTGTTCATCACATAGGTAGCATTCGATTTATTTGTTCAAAATAAGAGACATTTTATTAGACTTTGCAAAAATTAATGAAGATTCTTAAACAAAGAGTAAAGTCAAGTCCTTAGTGATATATGAATTTCAAAATTTTGAGTTCTTCCTTAATATGGTAATCTGGTTCAAGTTGTTGCATGCAGTCAATATTATGAGTAAATTTCTTCGAATAAAAAATATGGATATTGATGGTGCTATCAACATCTTACAAGGAATTGTTCCATTTCTCAAAAATTATAGAAAAATTGAATTTGCTATTGTTATAGATAAACCGACAAAAAGTGCAAATAAAATGGGTATTGAAGATGCGTTCCGATAAAAAAATATAATTTGAATAAAGAAGCAATTTCACAAAAGTAGTAGTAATTAGAAAAATCAATCAGTTGAAAAATCTTTTAGAATTGAATACTTCCTTTATATAATTAATCAAGTTTTATCTTCTCTAAGATTAGATTTGAACAATTCAAAACATTATGAAGAGATATTTGGATTTTTATTAAATTTGGAACGGTTAAAGCGGCAATTTTTTCAATTTGTTGAAGCTTTGTATGAATCTTGAGAAGTATTGAGAACATAATAGACGTTCGAATATTAATGGACATGATTTCAGTTCCGAGTTACATACCTTGAGGTGCTATATACTAAGCTACACAACAAAAATAATTGAAGTGCTACAATATTTGAAAACATCTCAAATGTTTATATTACTTACAAAATTTTGTTAACCGTATCTTAGATCTGATCAGCCATATCACAAGAAAGATTGAATTGATTGACTATGTTACCAATTGAGAAAGAAATTATTGAACAGGTAGATCATTCAAATTTTAATAATATTTTTATCTCTAAAATCAAGAGACGAAAAATATATCACTGGTCGTTTGAAACATTATCGGCTTTATTATTTGATTATAATGTAAATCATTTTTATAATACATTTTATTTGTTATTTTATTGTTAAATTTTTTTTTTAAATTAACAAGTTAACTATTGAATCCATAATACACTTATTGATTTTATATGCATGCTAAAATAATGGGGTCTAATTTATGATATTCTCTTCAGGCCCCTAATGTCACAGAACAGGCACTGTTTAAAATGATCCGTCCTCAATATGAGAGTTATATCCACATATCCACTTCCCGCAAGTTTCCACAATGAGGAAGAAGAAAATTATGGTATTGATTTCACATTTAGTGTCCCACATAAATTTAGGAATATTAGGACGACCTTTTATATTTGGAGAAAGCTTAATATTATACTCGTGGACTTATTTACATCCAAAGTCGAGATGAAAAGTATGCAGTACAATTAAACTCCATGAGTCTAACCAGGGACGGATTCAAAATTGGATCCAAGACCGAACTACAAAATTTCAAAAGAGACTGCTACACGGGAAAAAAAAAATTTATACATCAAAAACTATTCTCTAAGTCTAACATTCGTCTAGGATTTTCACTGCAAAAAGCAAGAAAGAAACTGTTAACCAGGCAGGTTTTTTCCTTTTTTTTTAATATGTTATATGTCCCTAGTGCGATCACCCCATGTGATGTGACAGGTGATGTTGGGTGAAATGATAAAACCAATTAAATGTGTAAATATCAGAATCACTTGATTTGTCTCATCATTTAATGTCACGTCTAGTCGTGGTGAAAGGTGAACCTCATTGGGTACAGTCCATGCTAATTTGCCAAAAGAAAAGAGTCCTCATGGTATATAAATTACTGCATTATAACAAAATGTGAACAATAGAACAAGGCAGATTCTATTCATAGGTCAAGATGTAACATGTTTGTGAAAATAATAAACAAGATATACAGGGTCCAAAACAGTGACTGCAAACTTAAAGAACAGAATTTTAAAGCCAAAAAAAGGAAAAAAAATAAAATAAAACGGCCTTTGTTCGCCCTATGGCATTGTGGTAGATTTCACAAGTCGGGTTTCATAGACATGTGGACGCCTTCGAGGTGCTCTTGTTTGAGCCAAGCATAATCACAATTACAGTAACATCGTCATGATATTTCCGTCTTCTGCCAGCAGGGATACTCATCAACTCTTCCATACTGAAACCTGCAATGCCGAAAGTTGTTAAGGGATAAAATCCCACATCGAATAATGATAAAAATACAGACTAATTTATAAAGGGTTTGGGTTACTCCTCTTAACAAGGTTGATCTTTTAAGATGAAAGTCAAGTCTTAACAAAAGTTTAGTGATTATAAAATCTGCAATTGTAATTACTAGGTCAAATATTAAACAGACGTGGATGTGCTATGGAATCGTTATTATTTATATCATTTCATATGATTTAACTAGATTACAGAAAAATCAGTAAATAATCATGCAAGTGGCAAAAACAAGGATGTTAATCTACCAAAACTGATGGCACAAGTTTACAACGATTTTTTAGCCTAGAGTCAATACTCGAAAAGGACATAAACCATATGACATGCAAATATAAAATCGGCCAATACTTAAACTCGATAACGTATTCAATAATGTAACTTTTGATTATTTAACATTGCAAAATACCTATAGCATTTTTTATTTTTTTTACATATCGGACCAAATTTAATAACCTATAAGTGGAAGTAGACAAGATGAATGATTTTCTATAAATTATCAGCATCACAGACATCATGCGGCTTAGCAGATAAAATAAAAGGTGAATTGAGCATATTTAGTCAAAACATAAATAAATTAAAAGTAACTTTTAGGCTTAGCGAAACATGTGTTTACTACCTTTTTGTCAAACATGTTTAGCCTATTTAGAAGCTATTTTTAGTTCAAAAACTTATTTTTTTCTAAAAGTAAGAGCAAAAGCGTGTTTGGGAAAGAAAAGTTACTTAAATGTAACTTTTAAGCTTAGATATAGTTTGCCTAAGCATAAAAGTTACTAGTATTTCTTTTAAGCTTAGCCAAACATGCTCTATGACTTTCAGTCTTCCATTGGGAGAAAGAAATGAAATACAACAAAATTTGGCTCCATACCTGCACGATCTGCAGCCCTCACAACAAGCTGCTCTACTAAAAATTTTGCCGGATCACCAGCAGGGTTCCTCAAAATGTAAGAACGCACGAGCTTTACAACTTCATCGTTGCTGAAGAAATCAAATAGACCATCACTTCCAAGTACAACAAAGTAATCAGAGCTTGAAACTTCATGTACATGAAGTGATGGCTCTAAAGATACATATGGTGGACTTATGAGATTACGGACTCGAAGAATACCCATCAAAGCATCATTCATGGTTTTCTGCACAATTAAATTAGATCAGTTATTACAAAAATAAGCGAATTATTATTTTCAACCATTACCAATGACCTCAAAATCTATGTAGAATCAAGAATTTTGGTAATTTCCTAATTCCAAAAGTTATAATAAGCAGACTGTTGCCTACCTTTTTCAAGTAGCCAACTCCAAAAGCCCTTGTAACCTTCAACTTCCCTTTGACTTTTCCAGCCACAACTGTTGAAGGGTCATCTGGATGATCAAGTAGAAGTCGAGTTCTCTCAACTTCATTGTCAACGGTATGACTATCAGTGAGCTGGACAGCACGCAGCCCCTTACTTCCATTTATGTCAATGCCTTCATCATATGTAGCCAAAACAGCTCGACTATCACCAACATTGAGAATATACAAGTCCTTCCCATGGAGAAGCACAAGCAACACACAAGATCCAATAGACACTAAATCAGGGCGTTCTTCCATTTCCTGTTCCACCATGTGTAGAAAATCATTCTCAGTTTGACTAAGAGCACGTTGAAGGCTGTTAAGAATCCTCCGCTTAGACAAACCAAATGATTTCAAAGAGGGCAGAATGTCAAAACTATCAAAATTGGCATTCTTTTCAACATTTTTGGAATCACTGCCATCTTTCCGAATACAACAGAGGGATTTATCAGAATCCAAACAACAGGAAGCTTTAGCAGACTCCTGTTCGATTTCCCAATCTAATAAGTTCAGGTAAAATCCAATTGTTTCATATAATGTTCCAGCAAGAAAATCTGCTGCATCTCTTCCATTGAAGCCATCATATATAGCACAAAAAAGCCACCCATTCTCTTCTGAACAAACAGCCTGAACTCTATCTTCACCAGCAGCACCCCCAGCTACTTGTACCTCCACTGCATTGAGGAAGCTATCACCTCTTGAAGGAGAATAGTCACAACCTAGTGTCTCAGTAGGAGAGGACGGGCTAAAACTCAAGTTTGACATGCTACTTGGGAGAGAAGATGACAAAAGTTCCAATTTTGAGAAAGATGGCGAGGATGGAATCCTGCGGAAAGAGTTAGGAGAGTCAAATGTTGGCAGTATTTCTCCCCCAATCAGCCCATTGCATATGTTTGTATTAGCTAATGTAGCATTGGCACTCAATGCAGCCCCAGACAAGCAAGAGAAGGAGCTGCTAGCTCTTTTGAGTTTGATTGCAGATGGGATGTCAATGCCATTTGATTTGTAGCAAGAACCGTCATCCTTACCTAGACATTGGTATCCAAAACTAACCTTGATTTCTCCTCCTGAATCATCCATGCTTTCTCTGTGACTAATTATTGCTGAAGGAAACACAGAGAGCTCGATTAATGATCTTCCTGTTCATAGAAATTGCAACACGCATAAGAACAGTAAGGTAATATATCAAAAAATATCTTGTTCACTCTTACACTGGATGATTGGGTTAATCATAATCAGATGGACGAAACGTAAATGATATCTTAATGGGAGAGGCTTAATATCAGCTATCGATTTCTAGGTTTCGTCGTAAACCTAATTGGTTACTTCCAATTATGTAAATCAATAGTTCCAGACTCAAAAGTGTTTTTTCAATTTGTATAGCTGGCATTTGCAAATTGGAGCCTTCTTCAAAAAAAAGGAAAAATAAATCTTATTGAAATTATCTTTTGTAAGTAATGACACTTTTCCAGCAAAATCATCAGCTTTTTTTCGAGATTGCAATTATAGATAATAATATGACTCCTTATAATAGTCAAACTATAAATTTTAGAAAGAAATCGATCAGAGTTCAATGTGCCACAATCCAAATTAACTCTTACAATTCTCAAATAGTAGTCTACCACCCACACCCACCCATGACAAATCAGTAAGGAAGTCTGGATGGATAAAAGGTTTCAGATCTTACAACTTCAAATCAAAACTTCCTCCTTGGCCAAAAAGCACAAAATTATTAGCTCATATCATATTTTTTTATAGAAACCTTACCTTATTTAAAACAGTAACAAATACCTCTCCTCTATCAAGTCGGATAACCAATAAATGCAAACTTTTACATATCTAAAGGAAACTAAAAATTGGGTCTAACGGAAAAGTAAAAAATTATGCATAATCCTTGTAAACAAGAAAAAATAACACAAATATGCCACTAAAATTAAAGATTGAAAAACCCATCTCACCTTCGTGATTCCAAAGGCAATCAAGAACATCAGAGGCCTCAAATCACAGACTGCAATCTCATATGTATACAGCGCGTATCTGTATGTATATTTGCACGTATCTATGCACATGCAATTGAAAGGGAACAATCAAGCGTGTATAGCTGTGTTAAATGTGCCTAAGAGGAGGTGCGGCTTAGTACAGAGGAAAACTTTGATGTATTCAAGGAAGAATCTGAGAAAGAGAGAGAGAGACGTATATAATTGGATGGTGAGGAGAGAGTTTGCTGGACAGAGTATTTTCGCTGATGCTGGCCAAATGGAGATCAGATCAAATAAGTGAGAATTTACTTTTCTATACAAAAATTACTTCTACTTTTTAAAAATAATTAATTTGCATATTTTCAATTTTTACTAATAAAATATATATTTTTTTATTTTTTATTTTTAATTTACTTGTCCGCTAATGAGCATGGGTATCAGTAAAATATATTTAATTATTTCATTGTTATTCTATTTATTTTTCACTCGAATGTCCCTTGAATTCCCAAAGGAGTGAGAAAACAATGATGGAAATTTATTTCTAAATTCTAAATTAAGATTCTAAATTCCGTAAAGATTAAAATCAAAAGTCTATAAAAAAAATTCTTTTAAAAATCGCTAACTATACTATCCTTATTTCGATCGAATCGGGATTTCTTATAATCAAGAGTTGGAACCTTTTAATGAAATGCCACTCATTTAAGAAGTCAGTCGTTGGAAAGAAAAAACGAGGGAAGAGGAATAGGAAATTCTATTGATTTCATCTCTTTTCTAGATCTCCGAGACCTATTTTTATTTTTATTTTTCAAGACATATATATATTAAAAATTCCAAGAGAAAAGAATAGGTTTCTTTGCTTCCTCAAAATCGCAATGTGATCATCTAGGTATTTCCATCTTGTTCTTACTTGGCATTCATAATTAAAAATAAAGGGCAAAAAAAACTAATAATTTACTTGGATAGTATATTATTATATTATTATTATATTCACCACAACTTATCAATCGATGAGGGTGATGCTTAAAACAAGTTGTCCTCAACCCAGTGTTTTTTTTGGAGTTATCAAAGAAAGATAGAAATGGTAGGGACAAAAGAACAAGACATGTAATAAAATTGGAGCCCCAAAATTTATTTGAAATGAGTGCATTCCCTTCATTTGTGGACCATATTAGTAAATCTTCCACAGCCTTGTACTTGCTAGCCATAGACAGTCGAAAAAGAGATGATATTGGATTGAATAGAGCATAAATATACGAAAAAACGAAGAAAAAAAAAAGTATATTACGAATTCATGGTTTTATTAGCTATTCCGTGCATGTAGTAAACCGTCCTGATATTCTTACATAATAAAGAATTTTGAGTCAATTTAATTTTTGGGTATGGAAAAAAACTTGTGTTGTATTCTTCATTACTATAAATTGATGAAAATTTCTGTTTATTAAATTTCTCGAAAGTAAGAATTAAGACTTAATCCGTAACTCAAGTTGGTGTGTCCATTTGCAGATTTGACAATAACTATAACGAACAAGGAAGATGTCTTAGAGTATTCCCCATATCCATTATAAGCGGTCCATATACTTTGAAATATTTCTGTTTTTATGCAGCATACTTTTGAATCATGCTTAATTGATAGAATATTTTGCCCACCTCCTTAATCCTGGACCATTTAAAAAAAGATTCAATTTTTGCATTTATTCATCTGCTGCCAACACTACATCTATTTATACATCTATTAAATAGGTAGGCAAAATCATCTGACAAAATGGCTTAACTCGATACATTTATATCTTGAACATCACTCAACAGTTAGTTTCTGGGTGGCGTGGGGTGGGGTGGGTGGAACAAGTTTCGGGCTAAGGACAAAGCTCATACTTTAGTTGGAAGCTTGTGGAGAAGTTGAGCTTGGAGTAAAGGGATCTTGACTCTTACACACTTCATTCATCTGTACCACAGAAAAAGCAAAATGAGGTGGGGTGGGGTGGGGTGGAGTAAAGGGATCTTGACTCTTACACACTTCATTCATCTGTACCACAGAAAAAGCAAAATGAGGGACGATGAACTGTGTTTAGATCAGAGAATTCAACCGCACTTCACTTTCACAAAATATGGTTTTTTTCCTTTTCGTCCCCAGCTCAACTTAGACGAACAAAGACTCATAAAATCAATATCACGAAGCACAAGACTCCCGAGACTATACACAGGAAGTCGCAAATATAACAGCCAGATTTTATGCTACGAAGTTGTATAAATTGTCCACTTAGATGCAGATATGAATCCAGCCGAGAACCATAGTGGTCAGTTGAGGTCACTGATGCATATTACCGGTATGTCCAGTAAAGTGAATCAGAACCATTAGACAGTGTTAAAAATAAAAAGAAGCTAAAATCTCGTCCATTATAATTTAGTCATATCAAAAATGCCTCACAAACTTCAATACAACAAATTCTCAAATTCTAGTACAAAGACAATAAAAGCTTGGTTTAAAGTTGCGCGACAATGTATTACAACATAATATTGACAAAAAGCGTCATACCATCTTTTAACACACTGAAGGATGCATCAAACATTAAGATCATCCTACATTGTAAAAAACTTTTGTCTGTCCTTTCTTTGTCCGAATTTGAGAAACCTGAACAAGAAATAGGAAAGGGTCATAATAAATAAAGTGAGGATGCAAAGGACACTGCATATTTATCCTATTACAACAGACAAGAAACTCAAGCCATAACATACATGGTCTACCTTAATTTGGATCAACACTATCAAATATGGATCTGCAGATATTAGGAAGCAGAGTTCTTCGAAATCAAAGGAACAATAAACTTCCCTTTAAGACAGGCATAATGAATGGCCAGGCTAATTTTTTGGGGGAAAATATCAACGTGTTGTGAAGAACCAACTGTATTATCCTACACTTAGAAATGAGAAGTACGACAAAATTTAATTTACATCCCATTTGTTCTTGCCACCGATAGCATTTAAGGTTGCAGATAACAAAGCCAATCAAAGTAAGCCCTGGGGATGCCAAAATCCAAGCTTGTATTTTATCAGTGTTACATACTCCGATGACACTAAGCTTTTTAGTGAATTTCATGCTGGTTAGAGCATTTTCAAGAAACTTTTTGAACATAAAATTCTCTCTATTCTTAAAGAGTTAACCCCTAAAATTATGCTCCAAGAGACTTTAAATTAACATTTTTAAATGGAAAGTGAGTTTGACTCTCCACATTTAGAGAGCAAAACGTACTCTCTATAATTGTACGCATTTAAAATATTTCAATTTTTCATGGAGAAAAATAATATAATAATTTGGATGGAAGCTAGTAAAAATAAAATATAGGAAAAAAATTAAATATTTTTTTGAAGCAGTAAAATTAAGTACTAAGTATAAAGAGCTTGATGGGATATTTAAAAAATTTTATTGTCTAAATTTATAGTCAATAGATGCTCTCTTAATGACAAAATTCGTTCTTTAAGAATAGAGAGTCTCGTGGAGATGCTCTTACTAAAATTCACGTTTTTTTATTACTTAGGGATTGTTTGAGCTACATTATTTTCAAAAAAATACATTTTTCAACAATGGTTTGACATTATTTCAACCACACATTTTTCAATAAAATAATATTATATGCAAATCTAAAACTTTTCCTTATTTTTTAACCATACATTTCCTATTGATTTGACATGAATAATACATTTTTTTTCTAGAATGTGGCTCAAACATCAGCTTAAATTAAACTTTGCTACAATTTGGTCACTCCATCCATTTCCGTCAGTTTGACTAACAGACGAGACAATAGGGCTACATGTCAACTATAGTGCCGCAGCAGCTCTTCCATTGGCAAACTAATAAACTTAAGGCAGAATCACCAAATTATAACAAAAGTCAAAGTTCGGTGATCCAAGTAACAAAGTCTTAGTTCCGTGAGAAATTTTGAGCAAAACGAAAGTCTGGAAACTGACATGAAATTTTGTAAAAAGTTCAGTTACCACCAGCATTTTAATCC